AGCTGACTTTTGGCCAACACAGAAGGTAAAGTAAAAGCGAGTAATGGTTGCTCAACTCTATCACCAGGCTGGAATGTTCCCCAAGACAACGTTCAGTGACAACATTTGGTTACATCCAGTGACAACTTTTAAAAATGCATTTCTTTCTACAATGTTTACACATGGTAGACTTATGGCCACGTGTCATTTGTCCTATTGATTGGTTGCAGAGTGTCAAGAGCTCAAGTCTTATCTAATACGAGCCTGGCAAAGGGCAGGTGCCAAAGGGGGAAGAAAAAAGACACGAGACAAGGATGTGCACGGCAATCAGCTTCATCAACACTTGTCCTACTCCTCGGTTTGGTGGAGCTTGTTGACCATATGCAGCCTGAGAGGAAGACACAAGGGTAATCTGTTCAAAATGTTCCACAGTTAAGTTCCTGCCACAATGGGGAAGATGGGTGATGTAATAAGGTGGCTAGGTACACTTCTAGTTATTGGATGATTGAATCCAAATGGAGGATAGTTCCATCTCCCCTATCTCCCTCTATTTACATATTTGCATTTGTTTTCCCTTCTCAGTTCTGGACTGAAGAATTTGCCGATGTCTGAAAGTAAACCTGTACACTCCTGCTCTCATCATGTGTTTTTGTGTTGTTCTCTTTGGCCCTCTCTTCCTCTTGCTTTTTCTTTCTCATTCTCCAACATTGCTTTCCTTTCCTTCCTTTCATTTCTTTTCCTTTGCTTTTCTCTCCACAGCGACAGGAAGCAGCTGTAAGACATCAATGATGATGATTTGCAACCACATATTCATTTTTTATACTAAATATATTAGGCCAGGCATCTGGAAGGTCAGTGGCGTAATGGCCATTGTATATTTTATGAGCAGCAGGAAGCAAAGCTCTCGGAGTTAATCATGTGGATGAGGGGGTTTTCAGGTAGAGACAAGGGCGCTACTTAAATTATCATACAAGCCTCCCCAAAAAGGTCAGACGCTTCAAAACGACACTGAATGCCCTAGAGTGAATAGAGCGGCTGTAATCATTTGGAGCGCCTGCCATTGTCTACGGGCCAAACACATTTGTAGAGGTGACATTGGACATCTACAGTGCATTACCATGGCCGCTGTGTGCTATGTGCCATTTTTCGGTACAATCTGTACACTCTGTATGTTCACATTTTGTGGCAAGGATGTAAAAATATTTTTCCTCCAACCATGTCTTCAATTTTATAATCTTTATAGTTATTCATTACGTAAATTCGGCCATTAAGTGATGAGGATACAGATACACCATGTTTCCACAGGAGATTGTCAGCTCAGAGCTGTCAAGAGCTGCATTCTAACACTTGAGGGTGAACTGTGGAGAGTGATAGCTGGCAATATTATTTCGCTGTGAGAAAATAAAGGCTTGCAGCTCTAAAACAATAGTAAGTAGTTTTAAAAAAGACTACAGTACACATGCTGTCTCAACAGCGAAATAGAAAGGGAGAAAATTCTGTGAACCTACATTCTGTGTGTTTATACTTTCAAACGGTGTCTGAAAAAAAAAATTGTGTGTGATTAGTGAAAGAATTTGACAAACATTTACAAATAATGGAGGGACACTGATATGCACCCTTGTGCAAAAAAGAAATTCAAACTGTCTGTACTGGAATCGCATTGTATCATATTCATTCACATAGGGGTGAATCCTATTGCATTGTTAGTTGCTTCATATGTTAATGTATTGCATTGTTGGTAATGCATCGAAATGCATTGTTGCATCGGCCTCATTTATGGAAGTAACACGTTTTTAAGTAAAAACATCATCTAGACATTTTAAGTGACAAAAACTTAGTTTCATTCATGATTAGATACTTTTTATTTTGTTCTTACAGTACAAATAAAGATGACAAAATTAAGACAATGCCACTTAAAATCACTAGTAAAACTTGCTTAATCAATAATGTTTTTAACTTCTAAGTTACTTAAACTTTTTGATGTAATCAATTTTAAAAATGTAAAATTCATCAGGCTTTACAGTGCTGCACACTATTCAACCTAGATAACTAAACTAAAATGATGAAATAAAAGTCAATATCTGTACAGTATTGGACTATATAAATACTATGAATAACTAACAGTATGGCAGCAACATGGCTAGTCTAATCAAAAGGAGAAGCAGAAGGGAATGTGTGTCGTACATTTATAGTACTGAGAAATGGTGGCAGAGTGAGACCACTTACCCGAGGTCTGACAACAGACATTTTTAGATCCTCTGTAGTATCGACGCAATTTGGTCTGTGCCATAAAAGTATCATTGTAAGTTCGGTACCTAGCCCTAGAGCTAGTTATACTGGATTGTGGTTGGCAGGGTCTTGGATTATAGGTTTAAGTTAAAGGGTAAGTTTGGTCATTTTCAACCTCAACCCTGTTTTTCAATGTTTTTGTGTCTAAGTGACTAATAGGGACAACAATTGTTGAAATTGGCCCAGTATTTAGCCAGACCGCTGCAGCCGGGACTTAGCTCTTAAGTCACTGAGTTAGATGTCAGGCATCAGAGAGAGAGCATGTAAAACCAGAATATTTTTACATCTAACTCAAAAAGAACAAGAACAAGAACAATGACCTGCAGGTAGGCCTGTCGCGATATGCGATAAATCAATTAATCGCACGATAAATAAAATGAGCTTGATCATTTTTTCGGCCGCGATAATTTCC